ACTACGCAGGTAATTTATTGCACATTGGAAATGCTGGAAGTCCCTCCAACAATAAAAATAATAGGGCACTTTCTGCCACACCTGCTGCCACAGGGACAGGAAAGAAAGTCGAGCTCCTCGTGCTGTGACTCCTTCTAAAGAGGAAGCTCTCACTGTCTCATCCAGGCAGCAAGGCGACTAATTAACTGCGCCTCAAAGCAGAGTTGCCAGGACTCCAGGCTACGCCAACCACGAGCAACCATGCTCTGAAATAATTCCATAATCAGGGAAGGCTGGAAGCCTTGGAGGAGCTGCACTGCCAAGCGCTTCCGCGCCAAGACGACACCTTTGCACAGACGCAGGCGGCTCCTTTCCCAGCTCCTCCGGATACTGAGGATCTGCAGCCCCCAAACTAGACACTTGCCCTCAAAAAACCCTCCAGAGCAGGCAGGGAGAGTGCTTGTAGCCACATCGATTGCACAGTAATTCCACATGAAAGGTGCCATGCGTGCTCATGATTTCCCTCTCTACCACGCAGAACAACTCAAGTACTGGATCTCATGTATGTTATTAAAATCCAATATATGTATATTGACCTATTTTTCTAATAGACCTTTTTCCCTCCTTGAATAGAGAGGGTGCAAGGGAAAATTGCTACTTATTGGGATTATGCTGTGACTGAAATCACTTGTCCATTTCGGGTTAATTGGGCATTACAGTCACTGCCTTAACCACAAAAGCAGGTGCAAAAAACAGTTAAGTCCAGGCTGAAATTTCATCTATTATTTCCTGCAGATAAAAAGGCAAGAAACAATTAAGGGGAAGCAATAGAACATAAGCTTTGAATACTAAAAACAAAATGGACAACACTTTAGGCAAACAAGTTCTCCTCCTTTAGGCACAGAGTTCAAGGCAGTGGAAGAAATTAATTAGAGGAAGACAGAAGCATAAAAGTTAATCGCACGGTGAGCAGAAAAAAAATGCTTAATTGAACTTGCCTCCCATCATTCCTTCCATTCTGTATAGTACAGGCATAAAAGAGAACCTGGGAGTTAATGATCAACAGCTACATTTTATATAGTTGTTCTTTTAGCCTTTGCTGTAAAAACGCTAGTTTGTTCCCCTTTCTCCCCCATTCATCACTAAGCAGAGAATGTGCCCAGAAACCACAGAAATGGGAATTATGACTGAAACTGATAAGTAAAAAGTCACCCTATTCTGATATCAAGTGTATACAAAGCTTAGAGTATGTATATGATCTAACTTCAAGAAATATGTACCTAATCTTTCCAGTGCTTTATTTCTACTTCTGAGTGTGGCAGAAAGACACTTCCTTGGCTATCTCCATAATATCCACTAGCCTGAGAGCTCATTAACAGCACAAGAACATCTGTGAAAAAGGGGCTCAGATTTTCATCTGGCCATGGCATGGAACAGGTCACACCAGAGCTAGTTCTCATTTAAGCAGTGTTGCTTTTACCAAGGGGGTATGCAGAAAGAGGAGGGGAAAGAAATGATCTTTGTATCATTATTAAAAGAAATGCCACCTTCAGACCACACATTTTTTTTCCTGGAGGAAAGACAAGATGCAACAAACACACATGATCAAAACACTGTTTTCAAGACAGAACAAAACAGTAGCCACAGCTTGATAGGCATTCCGCTTACTTTGGTAACAGCTGGAAAATTCAAACCTGTTCAGGGGAGCCAGTTTCCTTCTGTAATCTTAACCACCCTCTAGAAAATAATCAGCATTACAGTTTAAACCCCCAAATGCACCTTACAGAATGCACTAATCACAGGCCAGTCTACAGACAGTGGTAATTAAGTGAATCAAGATCTTCCCCTGAGTTTTGGAACCAGCTCCTTACTCAGCTGTTACATTGTCAACAGCTGGCATGAATTACTACTAACATTTGGCTAACTGGATAATAAGGAGGACAGCCTGCGGTTGGTCCAAATTCTACTTTACTGATCTGCTTCAAATGGGGGGGAAACAAAAAAAAAACTCATTAGATCCTCTTATTCTTACAACAGTAGGAAGATTGTGCTTCCTATTTTATTCCCTCATTATGTGCAAACAATGTAACTGTATGACTCTCAGATGTTGCTAGGGCTAGCGCAACTGAAGCCCCAAATCACTATAATTTAATAATGCCCTTTTGAAACACTGATTCATCTTCACTCGTATCACATCTCTCTCTTGGCTGGTGGGAAAGGTTTGCTGCTCTGCATACATTTTCCTGCTTGCTCGCGATTCAGCAGCGTACACCACGGGAGCAGCCCCCCAGACCCTGCTTCCGCCTGGCTTTCAGAAGAGAAAACATTCCTGAGACAAAGCTTTCTCCAGACAGCAGCCCTGCTACGAGGGGAAGTCAAATTATATTGTTATAGATCCACACAACAAATGCCATCTCCGTTACTTTATTTTGTTTGCTTTGCGCCCATGCAGCTCTCATGCTCTTCCTGAAAATCGATGCAGAAACCAGGCTCCACTTGAGCAACAAGCTCCAAAGGCATTTTGGGCATCGCCTCTGAGGGGTCTGAATTCCAGGGGCATCTTTGCTGCAGGAAGCTGTGGAAAGCGTGCTCATTACCAAGCAGCCTCTCCTCTTCCTTGTAGCAGGGAAGCTAAGGAAAGCATCCCAGATTATATTTGAGTCCCTGGAGGACAAGTCGGATATGAGGCAATTACTCTGTTATTGCCAGGCATTATCACCCTCCCGCCCTCTCACCTTGCGTGTGTACATGCTCAGGTAAACTGCATATAATCTACATAGTCTCATCTGCAATTATAGCTGTCCTCAAAAACTCCTGAATTACCCATTGTCCTTCCAAAACATTTCAAGTGCTGGTTTCTTTTCTCCTCTTTGATCAATACAGCTCTGTAACTTTTGAGTAGTAGAGGATTAACCTAATACACTATTAAGGACAACCAAAAAAAAAAAATCAAACCAAACCAAAACAAAAACCCCAAGCAAACAAAAAATGCAGAAAATTACACCAACTTTAGTTTATTTTTCATCTCTACTGAGGCTGTTTTCAGATGCCCCATGATTTCTACCAAGCAGCATGTTAGTATCAACATCTGGTACCTCAGTGGTATAGCGACCCACACTTTTGCAGTGAGCAACAAATGCTGCTGAAAGGTGTGGAATTTAAAAGGACTGGTTCCATAAAGCTACCTGATGTACTGTAGCAACTTGCATTTTCTTATTGCTCGATTGGGCCAATAAGAAATCCAGAGCAGTATTAGAATTCACACACCATCACTAACAGCATGAGGGCCACCACCAGTGCATCATTCTTGCACAGGGAAAGCAATCTAAGTGAAGGTCAAGCCAGCAGGATAAATGTGGCTACCTACAGGATCTCAATCATGCCAGTCAAGAGTAACTCACCTTTTGAAAGGTAGTTAATCCTTGCTATAAGGGCTAGAATTTAATAACAGGCAAGCCTGGCATGTAAAAATTATAAATAGCTTTTACATTTCCATAGCCCATTATTCCCACCCACTGTCACCAGGATTTTCAAGATAATTTGGATTAAGGTGGTAAAGAATCATGCTGGGGAAAGAGAAGAGAAAAAACATGACTGTACACTTAAACTCCCACACTTCCCAAGCGAAGTATCTTATAACTTAGACTGCTGCAAGGAAAAAACATTTTTGATGCGTAGCCATATGAAAACTAAGCCTTTACTCAGGAGAGTTGGTGGGAAAAAGATCCTAGAAGGACGATTCAGCGCTCAACTTGCCCCACTTTCACACAGAGATTGGCTGCACAGCTCAAGGACTTTCTAAACAGAGCCTTCAACTTTGCTACCCCGGGAAGTACTGACAAGGAACAGCTAATTAACCTGGGACAGCACTGGAATTACCCTGCTGTTATTTATTCTCCTTAAACTGCTCAATCAGAAAGGAAAGCTGAAACAGAAACAGCTTTGAGCAGGCACTTCCCGCATGCTCCATGGCAGGAGCGGATGTACAGGAACCAGCAGCCACCAGCTGCACAAGAGCCAAGGGGCACGTGAGACCCCAACCCACGCTCCCGCGTCCGAGCCGCCCATCCCGCCGCACGCAACGGGCACGTGACACGAGAGCAAAGGGAAGCTGCTGGCCGTGCCTTGTGAGAAAACACCCAGTGGACTGTGGCAGGAGACCACGCCAGCAGTTTAAAGTTAAAGGAAAAGCAAAAAGGGAGAAGACATGTTCTTAAGAAAAAGCCATTTGTGTTCTTTAAAAGAGATAAAGTGAGACAAAAGCAGGAAACACTGTCCTTCCTTTATCCTGAGGACTTCTTAATGAAAGGTCAAGTATACCCATCAATCAAGATAAGGAAGAGGCATCTAAAGAGATGACCTTCTTTGAGGGGAAACAAGTATGTATCAGATAGCACTTTTACATTAATGCAACCTTCCTATGACTATTTGAGACAAAAGGGAACACAATTTCACCTTATCATAAAAAAGTGAAAATTGAGCACTTAAGATATGCTCTTGCATGCTTGCTTTTGTTCCATTTTCTTTGATTCAGTCAAAAATAGCAGCCAAGGAAAAGCCTACTTCCAGAATTTGTGAGGAATATAATGGATTTCTAACCCTCATGCAGTTTGGCTTCCCGGGCTTAGGAGACGCATCACCCAGGGGGCAGCCACCATCATTCGTTACTGATAAGCAACAGGAATCATTACAAACACTTCCAACTTCTAGGTTTAAAGGTTGCTGCTTTTCTGAATGAGAATCCGCTTTCATTTGTGCCTGACCTCACAGTTACAAACTTAGTTTACAATAGCCCCTGTGAGTTATGCTCATGATGTCACTTCTAGGATGGAAAATCAAATTTCATGCAATTGTATCTAAAGTGGCTAAAATCAAACGTAAATACTTCTCAAGCACAAGTCTTATACAGTCATCCTTCATCGGCTTTCTCAGCCAGCAACTGTTCACTTCTATTTCTTGGGCCAAGCTTAACACATGTTATTTCTCTTGAAGAGCAGAACTGAAATAATTCTAACGCTCACCAGCTCTCGAGGTAGAAAGGCGTCCTCCTGGCGAGCCACGAGCAGGGACACCGTTTCGCCTTGCTTTGTGCTCCTCAGCATAGCTACCAGCTCCTCCTGGGTCCTGCCAGTGATGTCCAGGCCGTTCACCTAAGACACAGAAGACCAAAAAACTTGAAACATTCCTTTTTTTTTTTTTTTTTAAATCATTTTCCCCTCTCCAGGACAGTTGTCAGTCAGTGACTGACAGCAAAGAACTGGCAACAATTCCCTCACTGCCTCCCCTTCTGGCCCTGCACAAATCACTTAACCTTTTTTGCTCGTTTTCACCATCTGTTAAAGCAGGTTTATGACACTTCCCACCTTGCAGGGGGTTTGTGAGGCTTAATTAGTTTGCAGAGCACTTTGAAGATGAAAAGTACCAAAACAAGGCCTAAGTATTATTAAAATTGTTTATCTTAAGAGCTTTTTGAGGTTACTAAGTAGAAGTAACCTATTAGACAATGAATTATAACATTTTCAGATTTCTTGCAATTTAAGTGACTCAATTTGAACCCAACTGTATTAAGATGAGTACTTAGAAACCCTGAACATTAATCACAGATTTTTTAGGACATGGCTGCCAAGGCAAAAAATGTGTTTTTTTTTTTTTTTCCCCTAAATTGATATTTATCTCCTTTAAGAACACGAATATCAAATCTCCTGTGTTCTAACAGCCCTGCACCCTTCTGGGAACAGGTCGCTTTGTTTCCAAGTTGGGGTGCAACGCACTTGTTGACAAACAGCAAGCAAGCCAGGGGCCTTTTCACTAAGGTCAGTAAATTTTCATCATACCAGTAGCTGGCTTAGGAAATAAAATATATATGTAAAAACCAGCAACGGATACTCAGCTGTGCAAATAAAATGGATGCTTATTCTAACCTCCAGGATTCTGTCTCCTGACTGTAGACGACCGTCTTTTACTGCTGCACCTTTTGGTAAAATATTCTTCACAAAAATAGGACCAGGCCCATGAACTGAAGAATCTCTGGTAACCACAGTGAAACCAAGTCCTTCTGGACCTACAAGATAAGATAAAGAATTCCCAACATAAATTTCAACAAACAAACGAGGATCATTAAAATAACTAAGCAATCAACGTAAATAACATATATATCACAGATACTCATTCAAGTTAGCTCTTAAAAACTGAAAATAAACAAACAAAGCTATAAACTAGCATATTTTCTACATGCCCCCAGAGTAGAAATACATCCGTGTCAGGACACACATGCTCAAATCCTCTCTTCAGGGTTACGATCAGAAATGCTTTTGGGTAACTCTCATTAAAGCAGGAGTTCCCATTTGTTCTGTATCAAAGATAACACATTTTAAGTGGTTTTAGAATCCGCCTTCACATCAGTGTCAGTGCTGTAGCTAAGCAATCAGAATTGCTTAGTTATGAGCATAAATACAACTCCGCTGGTTTTATGAATCTCAGCGAAAAGTGGACAAACACGACTATTGCTAGATTTGAACGCCAAACCTGCTGACTACATACATGCTTCAAGAAAGGACAAGTGTGTTTCAAAACTACAATTAGTGAAGTCATTTATACCTTGGAAATAAACAACCCCAAATGTTAATAGGTAGATGTTTTAGCAAATAAAGAATTAGGTAGTAAAATCAGCATTAGCTGGTATTGATTATAATGCATCCAAGAGCAGCAAAGTCCATAAAAATCTCTTTACAGTGAGCAGCTTGATTGCTATTCGTGTTTCTGGAGATCTCATCCTATCAGTATCACATTTCTATCATTTCTAAAAATATAAATTACAAGTTCAAAATCAAAAGCATTACATCTAGCATAGGGAAACTCTGAAGTAGGTTTTATGTTAACACAAAGCTTAAGAGTTCAGAAGTAAAAATGATTGATTTAAGTTAAGAAATAACAAAAATTAAGAAATGACAGCTTGATTACACTCATTATGTGTCAAAAGAATAAAGTTAGACATTTTTTAAAAGGGCCACTTCTAGCATCAAATTTAGCTCTTAGCCAAATCAGAGAAAGAAACAGAAAACATGAATGCTAATTGGGATCTACTTAAGCACATTTTACTAGATGTGCACAAACCTGCTGTTCCATACAAAGGCAGGCATCTGCATGAAGCAGCATTTAAGAATATACACACTAAAAAGGGATGCTGATAGCTAAATAGATACAGATGTAAAGAAAAGGATTATGGAAAATAAAAAGGGAAAGGACAAAGGTAAATCTGTGGAAAACCACCTGGACAGCACAAAAGAGAGGAGTGTACACAACCCTATCTTTAAAAGAATGTCCCAGAAGTACTGGTCAATGAGCCGATATTAATTAAAAAAAAAAAAAGTTAAAGAAACAGTAGCAGTTAGTTTAAACTTTCATTCTCTATTTGCAAAAAAGGCCAGACACCTATATTCATATCCCATGCTGTTAAAGAAACACCTTCCAGCTCTTCAGGAATAGAGATGATCAGTAGGTCTGGATAACATGCACCCAGAATCTCCAGGAAAGCCAACTTTTGAGAACGCTACTGTTAACACTTGGGGAAAATACCATGGCCTGTGTGAAGGTCAGAGGAGGGGATCTCAGCAGCACTTCTGGAGCCTTCACTGCTAGAAGGCTTCATCAAAGCAAAGTCTCTGCGGCAGCCTGCAGATCTCGGGGACCGCTCTGCACTTTGGCGTATTCTGCATTACAGATCTGCTGCTTGCTCTGCTTCTCCTGCTTAGGGCCACGTTCCTCAGGCCTTCTCAGGACTCACTGACACTCTTCTGTCTCCTCTTCCTTCTGGGCTACAATGTCATTAAGGCTTTTGTAGTTAAAGCCTTTTTTTTTCCCCTCTCCTTTTCTGGTAATTTTTGCTATCAAAAGGTGCAACGGCTTTACACTAATGTTAAGTCTCCTTTATCCTCTTGTCTCCACAACAGCGTCTTCAAACATAGACAAAAGAGAACACAAAGAAATTCTCCAAAGTATTCGAAAACAATTATTTTGAACAAAAAAAAGTGAGTGAACTTGCTTATACTCTTAAGCCACCAACTCAGTTAAAAGGTAAAGTACCAGTAAGGAGAGCCTGATACAGAATCAGTCACCTCATCATTTCCAAAGACTTACCTTTTTTCAGGTCTATCTTTATTTTCTTTGCATTTCTTTTATTGCCAAAGCCCAGCAGGGGGGACAGCGAGGGTGAGGATGGCTTTCTGCACAGCCGTGGGAGGTTGGGGCTCTTAGCCTGCTGCAGTGCTGCCTGAACACCTGCCTCCAAGCCCATCGTTCCAGAAAGTTTAATCGTTTTTAGGGTGGGTTTTGGATGAACGGGAGGTGGAATCTTTGTTTTGGGAACTCCTTCTTCGTTATCCAGAAAAAGGGGAGCAATGACTGACTTTTCATATTGGTCCCGATTATAAGGAGGAAGAACTTCCAAGACAACATTTTGAAACTTCATTGCCTGACGGAAGATGTCCTGAGCCCTGTAAAAGAAAGTTATGAAAATCACGTAACAAATTAGAAAATCTGGGCAAAGTTTGAAGTTGTTTACAAAGAATAAGACAAAAATCTATCTTAAATATGAAGAAACAACAATACCTTCCAATCCACAGGGTCCCTTTTCTAAAAGCATGAAATCAGATTTCTGTAGTACAGCATTTCCTTACATTTCAAGTAGGCCAGCAGATCCAGCAGGATCCGTAGGCTGCTATGAAAACATATCAGCCCGAATAAACAAATGAAGACAATTCTTTATTCAGCGCATCAAGAGAAAGGAGCTTCGGTCAGCCAAAGCTCACCAAAAAACGCCTGAAGTCACAGGTTACAACTTTCTGGTGTTTGCCTGTTTTGTATTTTCCGGTTGACACACGCTATCCTGTTGACAACCCATTGCTCTGGTTAACAGCAGCCACTGGTGGACACACTCACCGAGAAACTTCAGGCCCCCAGTTTTTGAGCAGAGCCTGAGCAGCTCTCAAACTCCTTCACCACCCCTAATGCAGCTGTGGACTGATTCTGCAGCAATGGGTAAGGACGAGGGAATAGGACAGACGGCATCTTCAGAAGAAGCCCCGTGATGCAGAAGGTGCAACCACCTGAGTATTTGGCATTCCCTGGGGAGCAAAGGCCGTGGGGAGAGCCTCGTGGGGTGGTATTCTTCCCAGCACCGCTCCCACGGGTTAGATTACAGAACTGTACCTGTCCCAGTGTGTCCACAGGAGCTGCAGGCTGCACACACTTGTGTGTATCCATGAAGGTTTCCCAGGACAGACCTTATCCTGATAAGGGAGCTACTGTATGCGCAGCGTAAGGATGTAAAATCTTAACTGTGTTTTCTCTCCCCTCATCCTCATCTTTCAAGGGGCTGCTTGGCCCAATGCTACAAGGTAACTTAACAACTCAGTTTCAGGAGATGAATATTTTAAATATATAAAAGGGAAAATATAAGGGCCTTCAAACAGAAAACTGTGGAAATAACAGAAGCCATCCTGTGGGAAAGCCTAAATGCAGTCTTTGGGGGCAAAATAACTGGCTGCACTTCAAAGGGAAAAAGTAATGGATGGAGAAATCTACATTTCCTGAGACCCCGACTGCATACTTTAAAGTAGTAAGGGACTCAATTAAAAGAGGCGCTAAAAACTCTGCAACACAACAGAATGTAATTGAATAGATTAACAGCAAATGAAGCAGCAGACCAACAGCCCCAGATTCTAAATTATAAACATGGGAATACTGAAAGTAGGCTGATGCTTTTACAGCTGCAGAAGCAGCAATCATCAGGAGCAAGGCTGGAAAAGCCTCCACTGAAACAAACCACGACGGAGAAACACAGACTGCAACTGTCTCCACTAGCTGTTAAAGCAGCTTTGCAAAGATTATGAGGGACTGTCGGCTCAACATTAACACCAGATCTGCGTCTCGTGCGAGCCCCTGATGGCTGGTTCTGTGTCAGCAGGCCGGGGGACACCAGCTCCTTGCTGCTGCTAAAAGGGGATCCCGCTAGGATCAGCTCCAGCCTGGAAGGCTCCTTCCTGCAGCCCTTCTCCATGGTCAGCAAGCAGAAATGATGCCAGATGTTATGCAGGGGAGGCAATTCACAACAGCCACCTAAAAGCTCAAGACCCCCTTAGAGTCAGTCCAAAATATCCCCCCTGTCCAATCTGCTAAACACACATACTGCAGGCATCAAGGCCCCGTTGCCTGCACTTTTCCTCTCCACGTCCATGCCATCGCACCCCTCTGCTTGTTAATCTAACGTAAGGCTTCTCCACAGGGGACTTAAACTAAGATGGGCTTCTGCTTTTAATCATTTCTCTCTTTCACTTTCCCGATGACAGAAGGATTGCCTAAGGAGATTAGTTTCTCTGAAATAAAGTCTGTCTCTGTAAATACCCTTCCATTTCCCCACGTCTGACAATGCTGGAGAAAGCCAAGTGTCCCGAATCTCTCATTTTCCAGGGGAAGTGACAGGGAACAGAAAAGATCACTGCAGCACTTCCAAAGATCCCAGAGAAAAGACCATTTCTCGAGGCCTCTGCTGTACACACAGCTCCCAGCTCAGGCTTCTGCAAATCTCCTTGCATTGTGAAAAGAGCACCAAGCACACAGCAGAGCTGTAAACAAAAAGGCACACACAATTCCGAAGGAGGTTTTGATCCAGACAAAACTTCATTTGAGAAGGATACACCTTCATTACAGAACAGCACAGGTGAGGTGACCAACACTTTAAATCGATTTCTATATAAGAGTATAGAAAGTAAACTCTCAATCTCATATCCCTTAGCTGACTCACCGTCCTCAGCTTATTCCTGTAACTTCCATTTAACTTTTCAGTATTCTCATATAAAGCTATCAACTACTTCTGTCCAAGGTGCTACACTATTAAACTAATTAGCAGGGTTATAGCTGCTACCATACCACTGCTGTACTATCTCTAGATTCATAATGCAATGAATAATCTACACTTGTATTCTGACCTAAATAACACTACACCTCTATACATCCCCATGCCTTTGCTCTCAATGCAGCTCTTCAAATACTGAAGTCTGGAATATTTTTTAGCTCTGCTAAATTTTCATTTTCCATTTTAAACGTATTCATTATACTCGTCAAAATCATTCTTCCCATAGATAATTTCTTAAAAAGTCATTTATTACACAACAGGAGATTTTTTAATGTAATTTAACATTTCATTCTGAGACCCAAAGACCCTGATTCAGCAATTCAATGTGCTTAAGCCAACCTCTCAAACACATGATTTTAGGCATACTGTTAAATCTCATCAACTTCAAAGGGACTTGAATGTAAACTTATAACAGTTGTAAAATCTTTGATTTGTGGGTTTCTTCCAGGGACCACAAACCTCTGCACAGATTTAGCATCTATTGACGAATATGACTACATTCTGCAGACTCCTTAAGTGAGGTTTCACTGACACCCATGGTCCACAGGGCAAGGGGCAAAACACTTTTTACTTGCACTCATGATTAGGTGTTTTGATAAAAAGAATTTTTTCCTAGGTCTGTGATTAATCATGTTAGTGCCCTGACGGCCCTTGAGTGGCAGGAGACTTGAGCAATAGGTTCAGCGGATGACGGTTTCCTTGCATCCCCTGTAAACACCTGGTAGAATGAAGCAGATGAAAGTCCCAGAGGAATATTTTCCCCTCTGCACAGCATGGAGAGGGGGGAAATCTCAAGAAAATATCCTCTTTTATTAAAGTTGGTATCTTATACAGAAATTTTGTCATACAGAAGAGTATGACACGTACCAGAAGCCAGGTGCTAGCACACATGAGAACACATTCGCCACCAGGTACTCAAAAAGCAGCAAGTAGATGATGCATCAGGAGGCAAAATCAGAGCCACGGGAACCAGGTAATACCTGCTACACAACTCCAGCGGTTTTATCAACACCTCTGCTGCAAATATGTATCCATAATGAATAAATTGTGTATCAGATTTTAGTCGAGAAACCTTGAACATTTGGCTTCCTGTTTAGGAAATTAAGCTTCCACTCCCTTGAGAGCTTTATAAGTTCTTGTTATATTATGAATTATGATTTTGTTACATCAGGAATCACTTACTCTAAACATATGGATTAAGAGTAAAAACAAATTGCTACTTAATTACTACAGCAAATATCTGAAATTTGAGAGGCTCTTCTTTTTGCAGCAATGTCACATCAATTCACAGCCAAATCATCCCATTACTTAAAGAAATTTCATAGATAAATGTCTACAGATTTCTAATAAAAGCCATAAAAGGTAGGACTTACTATTTAGCTAAACCAATCAGATTGACAGCACTAGTATTCCCAAAAAATTGAATGCTGTAAAAGCCACAGCACCAAAAAAAATATAGTTTCATTAAAATCATCTGCAATAAACAAGGAAATATGCCCCAAAGTTCATTTGGAATGTCTTGAGAGGAACAAATTTGCAGGAATATATAGAAAAGCATGGGAAGAAATACAAAGTGAAGATTCTTTAAATTAAAGGCCAAAAAGGTTCACTACAAGACTACAAGAAGATGCTGCTCCTCAAATACCAGTGCACGAAAAGAAAGTTTCCGAAAAAATCTACTTTAAAATAAAAACGTATTTTATTTTAAATAAATATTAATCACCTCAGGTAATCAATAAACACAGCACTGTATAAACTTCTGCTAGTTAAAACTATTGGTCAAGCAATAAGAGAGCACTCACTGTGCAAAGGTTTTGTCTGTAAGGTCCACGCGGTTAATTTTCACAATGCCTTCGTTTTCATGGAAAAGCCCATCACGTCTAGATCTGCTGTTCTCCTCAATCCCACGGATCAGGAGTCCCAGCATCCTAAAAGGCAAAAAAAAAAAAAAAAAAAAAAAAAAAAAAGTGTTGACTCCTTATTTTGTTGGTAGGCACTTACACAAGTCAGAAAGAGACATGAATCTCTACTGTAGAGGAGAGTAGATAAACTATAAGCAGAACATTATGAGGTGCTTAATCTAAAAGAAAGATTTCCTGCTCTTTCTTTCATTACCAGGCTGGGGACTCCAAGAAACACCAAGATGAATTGTTGGACACTAAAGCTATATTACTTGGTGGAACTGCAGGAAACATTAGTCCTTTAGGTCACACTTGGAGAAACAGAAGAAAACATCCAGATCTCCCCATCTAGTCAATATTTAAAAGCAGTTTATACAGCACATGTCTGTCACTAAAAGGTAAAATAAAATTGTTTCAAAGCAAAGCACAAACAGATTAAAAGTTAATGTCTAACTAGACTACAATAAATTAAGCTAGCATTACAATAAGATTAAAAAGAAAAGTTTCTACAAGCTTTGAAAACTCTCTGCAATCTTGCAGTTCCCAAAGCCTGTGTCTTGATAAATGAGAGCAATACTACCCACCTATTCTGCAGAGCAGCACAACATCAAAATTCAAAGGCGTTTTTTAAGCAGGTTACATACAAATTGCAACCCAGGGTGCAGCACAGACACCTTGGATAATACATTAAGCCAGGGAGCACGGGTAGAGCAATAGTCCCATGTGGGTAACTCTGCTGAGACCACTAGGGTATTTCTGACCTCCCTATATAATGCAGACTGCAGCCAGCACAGATGTATGCAGTAAAGCCAATATAATCTCCCAAATAACCCACAACTCCATGTTTGTGAAGACCTTTTATAACCCATTTTTATCCACTAAATTTCCATATCACATTAGCAAGGACAGATGACCTTTACAGACGATTTTCTATTGGTTTTGCTCCATAAAATATTAATGTGCAATTTCCAACTTTGCTAGCACTCCAATCACGATACAAGTCTTGTACTTCTCAGATTCATTACTGCCCCTAGTAATTAAGTCCATTCAACAGATTCACAGCAACCTATTAACTATTTTAAAATGACAGTATATTCACTGTGCATCTGATTTTAAGTTAATTGTAGAATAAAGTTTAAAAACTCGTGCTTAGGTCTAAATAAAGGTAATTCAAAAGAGAACTTGATTCCTACTGAATGCTACTTTTGCAAAACATCTCCCCAACCTAAAAAAAAACTCCATCATATGACGATTGACCCAACCTTCGTTACACTTTGCTAACCAAGTCAGAGGGACAGTGGTGCTGAGATGCCCTAACCATACTGATGGTAGAGACATCCAACTAGCTATCACCAACAAGATAAATACTAAGACTTAACTAAATGTAATTAGGTGACGATATAAGCAAATAAAAGTAGTAAATTAAAGGAATTTAGTCTTCACTAACCCATTGTGCCCGGATGCTGCACCCAAAATAACAGCACAGAAACACCCACTGGTCTGAAAGTCCTTATGTGCACTGTGCTATGTGAACCAGCAGCTTGAGTCAAGTATCCTGTGGCTGTTTAAACTCATTACTCTATTACTTTATTTTATACGGACTCGATTTTGGCATTATTTTAACAACGCACTTCTAACACACTTTTATTTTCCTGTCCTAATAATGCCCAAGTGCAAAAGAACGGGAAGAAATTATTTCGATTAGTTTATATGCAAACTAAGATTTTGTAAATTAGTAAAATGCTTTAACTACCTCTGGAAAAAAAATTGCTTTACAGCAGCAAGAGGTCTGTATAAAGCCAGCATTACCTTATTAGAAGATAACAGTTTACAACTGACATACCAGACCAGCTAGTCATGGCCAGCGTGCTCCCATAAACCGCACTGTATCACTAATAGAAATAGAAGAGGCTCTTCTGTACTTTCTCATGGTTTGAGGAGCTTAAGTTTATACAGCAGTCTCAGGCTTGATTAAGTAGGAGGGACAAATGATTTAAGTCACTTCAGAACTTTTACAACAGAATCAGTATGGTTCTGCCAAAGGTCATTAAAATTTCAAGAGAATTGGTTAAACAAGTGGCCTGTCAAAAAACAATATATGTATATAGCTTGCACTGAGGAGAGTCATTGTAAAAAAAAATATATATATATAAACATGCACACAAAAGTAGGTCAAGGAGCTCCACTGCTTCTTCATGGGCATCTTTAAAGGTCCACATGATGCATGTGGTGAGACTTCAAGAAAGCAACACATTACTCTGACAGAAATTATTCACTTCAATATTTGCCGTTTTGTCCAATCTTCCATCTCAGAATCTTGAAACACCCTATGCATGTCTCCAACCTTTATGGCGTGCCTATGCCTATAGTACAAGCAAACACTGTCTCCACTCCACCACAGGTAAGAAACACCACTTGCCAAGCCGTAGGCAAGACCGTCAGCCTGCAACAGAGCCCAGGACACTGCTTGGCCCTCCCCATGTCCCATCCTGGACCAACTCTCGAGCTGGCCAGGACATTTGGGCAGGCAGCAGGAGGACAATTGGAAATAAAACATTCTGTGTGACTTTGGGTCTGCCCTCAACCTCGGATCTTGTCAAGGAGATGTCTGCACCCACAGACATCCGTGAGGCAATCAAATCCACTCATCCGCTTGTTCAACATAAAAGTTGATGAGTGTGGAAATATTTAAGGATTAGACAATTCCGACGTTTGCAATGATAATTGCCTCTGTGTCACAGGTATCCATTTTACTACATGGTGATGTCATTTATGGCATTGGCAATTTCCAATCTCTTATTTGGGACTGCCAGTGTCAAATTAACTCTGGCTGAATCTCCACATGTCAAATTTTAGCCTAGAACAAAATTTCACATCTGAGTTACATAGCTTGGAAAACAGTTATAATGAAAATGCTGACACAGTCTTAACTACAGTACATCAATATGAGCATGCTGCTATAATAGGCTTTTGTGATCTCCAGAGACTATGTTCAATCATTTATAATTAAAGTAATTGTATTGAGACAAAGAAAAGTTCACGGTATAGTACACATTCTATAAATGCAACACAACCAAATCTGAAAGGTGGCTTTGGAGAAAAAAAAAAAAAAAAAAAAACAAGTAAGGCATGACTAGGCAAGCACTTTTTCTTTATTTTTTTGGACTTGTCTGATACGTCATTAAGAAGGGCTGCAGTATTCTGCAGGAATCTGGTGCACCATTTGGAGAAGAAAAGCAGAGGAGGTTGAAGGGACAAACAGGCTATTACAGGGGTCTTAGTACGTAACTCGGAAAATAAACAATTTGGTAACAGAGACCACCTTACCTTCCACTCAAAGATGAAATAAAGGGCACCACATGGATCCCCAGGGGCCCACCTTCTCCAGAAATCTCCACTATTTTTGTCATTTCACTAAAAAAGAGCACAGAGAAACAGAAGAAAAACTGTGAAACATCATATGAAATGTTAAAAATCTTTTGTCATTTGATCTAATAGCAGAAACACAGCCAAAGGATGTTAGGCTCAGAGCTAACGCATATAACAGATGATGAAATGGAAAATGGCTAACAAATTCTTGGGTTTGGTAGATTAGATTTACCCTGAAAAGGTAAGAAAAAAAAAAAAAAAAGACACCAATATGAATGTTTTCCTAAGTCAATCCTTAAATTAACCGGAATAAACATTAGTATCTCGGCTGTTGGTGGTTTTAACTAGTCCACTGCTGGGAATAAAGTGATTTTTGTAACTCTGGTTCCACACAGTCGCTCGCACATGTTTCACCCCGGAGCGCCCCACACGGGCTGCAGAACGCGCCGCGGAGCGGGAGCTGGGAGGAAGTTCCCTGCCCCAGACTGGGCCGCAGTGCAGCAGAGCTGCGTGGTGGCCACGCGGCTCCCGTTTCCACGGTGTGTTTTAGGCCAACGGCCCAACAGTGGCCTTCCCGCGATCCCGGCCATGGCCGTTGGAGAGAGCAGGCACCCAGGCCGGCCTGCAAGCTCCACAGCAGCCGGGGGGCACGGGCCGGTGTTTCCCGTCACCTCAGGCCAAGTGGTTCAGGCGACACAAAGCTCTGCCCTTGTCCTTGTCTGTGGCCACAAGGTCCCCCCTCCAAGCCCTTGTCCCAGGAGAAGGGATCCACGACACGCTCCAGCACAGCTTTGCTAATAAAGCAGTCAGGTTCAGTGGAGAGCCTTTACTCAGTGGCACACTGGTTGGTTAGAAGTGACGTGGCCTAGATACCATAACCCTTATCTTGTTCAGCTAAATATTGCACAGAACTGGCACACAAGTTCATATAATATTCCTTTGAGCCCATTTGTAATTTACTCTTCCCAGGAGGCTGTCACTGGAGTGCATTTTTATTCCGCTAAAGCAAAACAGACCATGCCTGAACAACAGGTCACCGCTGCTGCCGGCGTAAAAGGTTTGGGTAGGACCGTGCTGACAGCAGGAGCACGAGCAGCGGGCACGTCCCAGTGCTGCCGCCTGCCCTCCTTGTCTCCCCACCTTCACAGCCTGGCAGGGACCTCCTCACAAAACACCTCTGCATCTTCCAGAGTTTTAGTTATCACTTTTTCTTTTTTCTTTTTTTTTTTTTTCCTCTCTTGTGGAATTGTGCAGAAAGGCTGAGGTTTAATCAGGATAGCTACCAAAAACTCAGGGAAAAAAAAGAAAGCCTCAAAAAAGTATGTGCTGGAAGTTAATTCTTATTTCAGCTTCATTTCATACTTCCTCCAATTCTCTTATTAGTAGACAAGAATTATAATTAAAAGGCTATTTTAATTACAGTTTGGACTTATTTGCAACCAAAGTGCACCAGGGAATTACGTGGCCAATGCCTACAGATCAAGAAAATAATCAACAGTAGGGAATCAGTTTTTATTTGTATAGGGAGAAATTAAATAAATTAATAAATAAAAATGAAATTTGTCCCCAGATAACCCTGGGTTGTTTAAGTACCTCCAGGGAAGAGCTGTCTTCCTAAATAACTGTAATACAGAATAGGAATTTTCTGAGGGCAGTCATGATAGACAGCTTACCTGTCATCTTAAGTTAATGTATCTACAGCTATAAGCAGGCTCAAAGACAACCTACAAATTTACTTTTAAATCTAACAAAAAAGCTACACACCAAGAAAAATAGGAATCTTCTCAAAAAGAAACAGTGCATTATCCATTGTGCATTAATTTCAAAAACAACCTTTCTCTGAGGTCCCTGCAGAGAGACAACATCTGCGAGCATTACCTGACTCCTGTCTCCAAGATCACAGTTGACACTGTGCTATTGATTTTTAACCTGAAGAAACTATCATCATTTACTATGTAAATTTTTTATTGCTTGATGTTTATTGATTTCTGCCAGCTTCTTCACAGTCTATCACATTTGTCAGGAAGGCTTGCCATGCATGTTGTTAAAAACGTTGACAAGCACAGTTTAGCGAGGAAAGGGAATACGTGTGTGCGCACATACGGGTATGGGCGCAGGAAACATGCACAACAGTTCATTTTTAATACAGAAAGCAAAAGTTAAATGGGCTGCTGCATATCTAGAGTAGCTAATTTTGTAACCTCATCTTCAGACTGATGGTGCCCTTCCTGCCAAATACTGCAGCTCTCTCCTGAAAATAATATTAGGAATTAACATCAAATATACGATGTCGGGGGGTGGGCGGGGAAGAAGAGTTAACTAAAGAAGTGTGTACAAACTTTCCACTAACACCAAAAACCTCATCTGAGCCACTAAATCCACTGATGCTTAAAACAGACCTGTCCAGACATAGATGATTTTTAATTTTGGAGTTGGCTTTTGTTCTCCAGAGGGCCAAACTATTAACTGCAGGGAGGATCTTGGTAGGATTTCTCTTGGGGAACACAACTGGTGGAGCCTGTGGTGGATTAATTGTTCTGCAACTTACTGAAGACAGGATTTCCTAAACTTTCCTGGGAGAAGCTCCTTTCCACCTTGGTTACCACACAAAAATCTGTCATCATGCACATGTCACAACAAGAAGCTACTACCCGAGTAAGCACAGATCAAATATATTCCAATGGCTTATTCTTTTGCCTTCTGTAATTTAGCTCTATTCAACACTTGCAACAACAGCCCAGGCACAACACAATGATGCAACACATTGAATCCCTCAGACTTGTTTTTTTTTTTTTTTTTTTTTTTAAAGAAAAGGTACAAATTAACAAGCTGCTGTATCTGAAAAATCTCTTTGCCCAGGACATCAATGCTGTCCTTGCAAACAGAAACATAAAGCAGCAACTCTGAATGTGCTTTGTGGCGCTCACATTGACCACAGCCAAGTAAGAGGCAAAGAAATGTCACTCAGATGCAGGGAGCTCACAGATAAAGTTATTGATCTCCTTCTGATCTATATTTCACCAGCCCCTGCTCCAAGAGAGTGAAGCATCCATGAGCACAGGCGGATGACACGCGGTGGGGAGCACGGGGTTTCTGGCAACGTCCAGGCACTGCAGGGTTTTAGAAAAGGAAACACATGTGGTTTTATCCAATAGAGGGTGATGAGTATCTACTTATTTCATATACTAAAACTGTACAGTTGCCGGTGGTAATATAGTAGCTGTACCCCTTTTCCCAGGGACAACAGAGCCTGCCTTCTAGAGCCAGCCCAGCAAGTGGGGTCAAAAAAGCACTTTTCTTCTTTCTTTCTCCTTTAAAACCCAGTGCTCAAAGCTCTCACCAAAGGGACAGGGAAACCATAAAGGAGGGACTGGAGCTAAAGCTGCTTGGAGTTAGTATAATGAAAGCCATGAGAAAACCTGAATGATATCTGGTGATGGAGAGCACACTGCAAGGAGAGCAAGCAAGCAACTGCGTCAAAAAAAAAAAAAAAAAAAAAAAAAAAGAGTATTCCAGGCACAGTGAAGCTCACTGTCATCTAAGAGAAAAGGGTCTTTCAATTACTCATGCACCAAGTTTATACACTTAATACGGAATAAGGCTGGAATCCTCCAACTTCAGGTTCCAAGAAGTAATTAGTCATCCTCTCTCAAAATTTACTAATCTAGCAAATATGCCACTGAAATCCAGATTTTTCCATACTAAATTTAACTTTCATGACATCAACTGTATAAAAATTTAGAGACAAATCACACCGGCTACAGGCAACAGTCCCAACCTCCCCCTTTTTTTCATTTTTTTCGGATCAAGTTGCTCCACCTCTGCTTCTGTGCTCTAAGACTAATACCAGACACAGAAGGATACAAGGAAGTTTGGAAAAAAGCTGAGGAGGACAGAATGCTGTAGTTATGCTCAATTATGTATCTACAATGTTTAACCAAAGAACTGTGACCCTGACTGCTGCTAAAAACAAAGTGTGAAGGCAGCAAAATGGAGCATAATGAAAACACATAATGAATTATCTATGCATAAAATACTGAGTTCCAATCAATCCACTGCTAAAGTTAAACAGCCACTTCCAAACAGGCTAATGTTTACCATTCCTTAACGCAGTAATTTTTACTGAAAAATAACTTTGTGAAACCAATTTTTCAAAACCAGTATTTCTCTTTTGTGCATAGGGATCGAATTCTAGGGGTTCATGACAAATTTCTAGCAAACATCCTGCTATTACTATAAAATTTTTAAGTCCTAGTCCAGAAAAGGAAAGCAAGGAAAAATATCCGATTTTATACACAGATGGTTTTTGTTTGGTTTCAGTCGTTCTGAATATCACTTATTAGGAAATATAAAGTTAAAAAAGAAAGAAAAAAATCACCTTCAGAAGTTACCAGAAAATTGTCATCAGTTCTGTTTTTACTGTTAAAAAAGTGCTGATGAAGCAATATTTAAAGACTCTTCTCCAACAAAGCTCAACTCTCAGTAAACTTAAGACAAGACTTCCAGGCGCAGAAAGGATAAGGCCCTGAAAAGTTTTCCACTACTTTTACAGTGAAAGAGAGTCCACGTAAATAAGTTTCCTTCTGATTAGCATCTGAGTATTTTTTGAAAGTCGCCCACACTCCTACTTTTCTCATTTATTTCACTTACTTAAGGTACAACCTTTTTATTTTACCTACTTAAATCAATGAACTGTTTTTCTTCACATGGAACTGAGAAATACAAAATGAGTCAGGGCTGCAGCTTTTAACTTCAATAGGTTTTGAAATCATAGAATATTAATTACATATATTTTTTCTGCTTCCCTCTCAAACATCCATTATTGGATGCAGCTAGATGAGGGACACTAGCCTCAGGGAGGCTGGTGCTCTGATGAAGAGTTTCAGATAATTTGTTAAGGAGTCTAGCTACTATTTTTCTTAAGTGCTATATATCACAATGATCACCAGACTGGATGGCAAGAAGAAATATTTTCAGGTGAAACCAGCAGAGACAGTAGTGGTTTTCTTCTTTCTTCTGTAACATGAAACAGCTCACAATCAGACTGAAATATTAGTTTCATTAACATCATTTAACTTAACGTGACATATTTAAATGAGAGTTAATGACCTGTAAGAAATCATGACTTGGTGGTCCATCATGGTCTCTGAAATGTAACAAGAGACCCCCACAAATTAGTATTATGAATAACATTTTTCCAGAAAGAACAGTGCAGAAAGAGACAAAATATATCTCAAAATGTTAGCTTGCTCATTTGTGGAAAGAACTGTTTTTATTAATAAGAGGCTTATAAGATATAATTTACTTAGTTTCATTTAAATTAAGATACCAGCAAGATAGATAAGCTGTCATGATTGTTAGACCATTCTTTTCTTTCAATTCTTCATGGAAAAAAGTACTTTGGCCAAAAAAAAAAAAAAGTTTCAAAAACAATTGTTCCCCTTTTCCTTTTAAGGAAAAAGCAACAGGCCTGCCTTAACATTTATATTTGTGTATTTTTTAAATCCCAGGGAGCTTCACGGAAACCAAATTCCTTTGTTCTACAGAATAACGGTTTCTGCATCCTCCTAAATTCATTAAATTCCAAGAAACTGGAATCTATTACAAACAGCTATATTTGAATATATTTCAAAATGTTGTGAAAAAAAATCCTCATACTACACATTTGTATACTTTCAGGCAAAAACGTGTTTTTAAAAATCTCAACATCCTCAACATAGCACGCCGGGGGCACATGTGTTCTAGCAGAACCACTTTTCTGGGGTTCTGTGCTTAAGGAAACACCACTCCTCTCTGCTTTGCCTTTTGACCAATCTGTTCTTTCAGTCTATCAGCAGGGATCCAGCTCACAATGACATGTTTTATCTCCCAACAGAATTACAAGAATGCAGCAAGGTAGTTAGGAATGTACCACCCTGGCCCCTGCACCAGCTTTTCCCCCGCTCCCTGGTCAATACTTGGATACTCAGTTGCCAATTGGGTGGGTTCCAGCCTACGTTCTTCATCACTTTTCCTTCCATACTTCTCCAAGATGGCAGAATTCACCAAAACTGCTAAGAGATCTATAGACAATCTATTCCTTTTATCAACTGTTATGTGACATGCCAGAGAGAACGCTTCAGGGATTAAATATTCCTGGAATGTTTCACAGAGATCTTTTTCATTGCCAAATTTTCCAATGACACCACCAGAATCAGCACACGCAGATTAAAGCAAGGAACACCGCAAGCTCCGACTGATGACTCCCAAGTGTAAACAGCAACTTGGGTAACTTTATAAGCAACAAGATGTTCTCAGAGAAAAACAGCAGCATAGGTCATAAGATGACTCAGATGATCAAAAACACACAAGTAAAGCATAAGGACAACAAATAGGAGCATAGCACGAGCAAAGCTTGATTAATCCCATTAACAAACTGACAGATCCAAAGACACTAAAGGAGCAAATGAGCGCATATATTTGGCCATGCATAATAATTACCTCAGGTGAAATAAGCTGTAGAAGTCTTTAGCTATGTTCCATAAAGAGAAAGAAGAAAAACAACATTAGCAACTAAGCTGACTAGGTTCAATACCTGTGTGATGAACACTAATCAGTTAGTGTGTAGCACAGAGACCCAGCAGGTGCAGAGGGCTGGAAGAGCACTCCAATTCTGTGTCCTGGTGATACCAATCTAAAAATACCCCTCCGTTTCAGCAGGCACATGAGGAGGAACTGGAGAACGGCATACAAAGCAGGTGATAGGGAGGGCTCCAAAGAGGGAGGAAGAATGCAAACAATCAGATGGATGAGTTCCCTCTGAAGAAATGAAAAAGACGTTGAACGATGACACAAGCAAGACTTGGTATTTGTATCAAGATCCTGGCATGGGCCATGCAAAGACTAAAGTCAGAGTCCCTGCTCTGACTTCCCTGTCAGACTTAGGGCATATGCCTTCATGCCTCTTCTCTAGACCTGCTCTAGGTAAAAATGACCATATTAACATTTCTGTTCCCCGCCCCCCCCCCTCAGCAGCATGGGCAAATAAATGCTCTAACATACACAGTGCTGTGTATTGTGCGGCTTTTGTTTTATTTTATTTTGACAAATGGCTATAAGTTGCAGAATTATAGAAAATTAATTGCCTTCACCAAAATAGAAGCGAATTTGATTGCAACATCTTTGCTGTTATGTCTAAGTTTCCCATGTGACATTTTTTTAGTTTCATTAGACAGTCTGCTATTACAATACTAGTAACATTCCTGCAACAACCAACCTAGGGGGATATCAAAGAATTAAATTCCTTGCCCTACTCTAAAAGGTGACTCCAGTGCAACACAAATCACCAATTCACTTTGTTCTAAACTTAGCAAAGCTACTTTTGTTTCCATTCACCCAGTCAGAATTTTCCTTGTCATTTCAGGAAACAATGAACCTCAAAGGTGAATTTTTGAATTTTCTGTTGAAAGCAGTTTTTTTTCTTTTCCTTCCAACTCCAATCATATAGTCAGTTAAGCTTATTTAAGTTTCACTCAAAATTTGGACCAGACAAAATAAAAGATGATTCCCAATCTGTTAATGCAACCACTGATAACTTAAGTTATAACACTGGCCATCTCTGGTCTGGTGTAAACAGGGAGAGGAAAAGGATGCAATCAATCTCACTACCCTAGCAAAGCAATAGACAGGGAAACACAGAAAATACTGGTTACAGTTTTCAGAGTGCATACACATAGAGTTAAGTTCTGCTGCAGAATATGGTGAAAAGGAATTTTACATTTCAAAATTTGTAATGTCATTTTAACTAAAAAGGGTTGTTTTTGGAACATATTGTTCAGCAGTTTGCCTGCTGAGATGCAAGACTGTCCTCTACCTCAGACATTGAACACTTTTAAAAGATTCATTAGAACACAAGTAAGACCAAAATATACAACAGCAGCGCCTCCAGGACCCATTTACTCCAAACAGCGCAAGTCAAAATCATTCCTATCCATCAACCCGGGTAAAAGACTGTCACATGCAAAGAAATGCTTCAGGACGTGAGCTGAGCACGTGGTTAGGACGGGAAAGGGGACGTGGGGGTGCTGCCGAGCACACCACAGGGCAGACGCGGCAGGTGAGGCGCCAGCCTTGCCTCGCACGTCGATAGAGACGCCAAAATGGCTGCCCAGAGGAAGGGGCTCCTACCTGACAGCCAGCCGGGCCCTCTGCGACGCCAGCAGCTCCGCGGGTCCAGGGACGCTCATCTCCCCATCCTCAAAGGCCAGTGGAGCTCCCTGTTGAGATTTCAAAGTGCGCATTGTGAAACTAGCTAATATTTATGCATTTCAAACAACGGCTGTATTAAATGAAGAGGCCGGGGGGAGAAGTGATTTTGCCCTGAGGCCATGTACTGTCAGCAGCTGCTCTCTCTTCTCCCTGTACCTTTTTAGAGCCTGCTGGGCTGCTCAGACTCTCAATCCATGGAGAAATGGCGAGGGGAGGGATGAAGCCAGCTGCAGGCCTGTGCCAGACCTACAGCACAGGCTTCTTCCACCCCTGCCACCCCTTAGTAGCGGCTCTCTGGTGCAGACGCCTTTTCACAGCAACTTATCAGAAAGTGAAGTTATGTAACCATTTGACCAGACTAAAATACAGTACGCATAGGGCTTGATGTTAATGCTAAAGCTCTTTTACTTTTATTACTGAACTTTCTTTTCCTGATCCCTAGATTCTTTATGTTTGCATTTTTTTTTCCATACTAGGAGAGGGGAAGAGGTACCAAAGAGATAAGAACACTGTCAGCAGGTGATATATTAGCTTTAATGTACTGTACTTCATTGCAACTCTCATGGCAATAATGTAAACAGAGTAAAACGTGTAACAAAAAGCTTCTTTGGAGAGGTCATTTCTGCCAACTCTGCAACAGGAATAGAACTGGAAGACATAAATCTTCAGCTGTCAACACACTAAGAGAATTCAATTCAAAGCTTGATCTTAACTAGATAAAGACTTAAGTTAATAATTAGGTTTTGTTGTAGCAGTCACAGTTTTCCAGTGTACATTCTTACCATGTTAACCTGCCCTAAGACAAACAGTAGCAATATTATAAATTAATTGCAAAGAACAGTGCCAACGAAATAGGTAATTTCATTCTCAGGAATAACTTTAAACTCTAGGGGAAATTGTGCATTAAAATTCCGCATTTCTCTACAAAGCCAGTATTACAAGTTTTGACATTTTCAGCAGCCCCCCCAGAGAAGTGTAGAGCTTATTTTCATTTTAAAAGTAGCAAGGCAGTTTGGGGTTTTTCTGTTGTTGTTGGTGCTGGTGGTGGTTCATTTTTTAAAAAGGCATCACCTTCAGCTTTGCAAGCAAACCAGTGGACTGCACGTCAAGCTGGACTCCCTTCTGGATCACACACCACCTATGAGCTTCTGCCACTATAACACTGGCCACAAATTTCTTTGTACATTAAAGGGAACGTAAGTTGGAGTTGGCTTCCTCTCCATTGCCAATCCAGCTCACTGCAAGCTAATTTCTGTCACTAATGCAACAGAAAAACTCTCTCAAAAAAATAAAACCGCAAACACACACACACAAAAATGCCCCAAAATATATGGAATAAGCAACATTTCTTCCCATCAGTTTTCACAGTAGAATTGCATATCAAAAAGCAACTCCCGTTATATCACATACTACCATACTAACCTCAGAAATAGGAAGCCAACCTCACGTAATGAGTTAGCAGTAGAAACCTAACGCCCTATCTTTATACAATGACTTCACATTACAAAAAGATGAAGCCTTGGTAGCAATAAATAACGGATGCAGACGAAGCTCATTAGCAAATATTGCCTCCTTGCAAAGCTGCCCACCATTAGCTAACGGATGAAAACACTGCTGCTGAAAAGCCTCTCCTTTTTGGAAGGCTCAAAATACAGCCAAGCCACAAGCGCACATGGGGGCTGCAGATCAACTAGCTTCTCAAAAACTAGATCCTCGAGATTCCTGAAAGCACTGGCTGCTGCATGACGCTGCTCAGGGCATGGCACTCAACGTGATACTTACACCACAGAGATGTCTGGTTGTCCAAAGCTCCCATTGCACTCTACACAGCCCTGTGAATACTACGTTAATTCTGTTTCAGAGTTTCTGATGGTCTTTGCATATTCAGACAAGAGTAGGGTTCATCTTCTGACCCACAGGACTCAGCTCTAGAAATAATCTGTCTATTAAAGGGCTGTTAATCCCCTCAATTCCCTCTCAGCAGCCTTCAGCCACACATCTTCTGCTTTAAGGAGTGTCTACTTTGACACACATTTATGGAAGTTTCTCAAGCCCTGGGAACCAATTCTTATTGAGCAAGTACTAAACCGAGCTGAATCTCAGAAGTAGATGAGAAGTTTAGAGAAACACAAATTCTGTAAAACAACTGCAAAAAAACTTCAAGTCGAGACTAAGGGTACAAAAAGGCAACCACTAACTACAAACATGAAGGAAGTAAATAAGATTTATTACTTAGAAACACACATGGTATCTACCCAAACCTGGTAGACCCCAAAGGAGAAGGTCTTCACCTGAAACTTCCATGAACAAGTTAGAAGTGAAAGCAGGTCCCCGAGGTGGGAGTTGGCAGTGCTGTATCTGGAGGACATCAGGGGTCATCAGCGTTAAGGAGCAAGCGAAGGCCAGGCGAGGCCCCGGCACCAGGCCGCGGCACAGGCCGCCGTTCGCTCCCGCCGGTGCCAAGGGGACACCAGGGCCCCCGCAACCTTCTCATCTGCTGCTCTCCCAACAGACACTTTTAATTACCCTGTTTAAAACTCAAACGCTTTTAGCAACACTTGCAGGATCACAGGATCACTTGCTGACAGCCAGAATGAGTTTCAAAAGCCTCGGCGCTATTTTTAGCTTTAAAACTCAGCACTTGCATCAACATTCCCAAACCAATTAGTAGGTGCTACAAACTGAAGGTGTTTACCTTCAGCTACGGCAACAAGAGTAACGCTGCGGCGGCACAGGGAAGACGAGCCCCAAACCACACACCTCGAGAGGGCCACAAAAACACCCGTTTCCGTCCTTCGGAAAGGCTTCCCAACATCGTGTTTTGTGTGGTGGGAACAAAACAGTCGTTTCTATCACCAAAGCATAAAGTCAAATGCATGTCCACAGTCATTTCTGTCATCAAGGCATAAATTCAAGCGTGTGTCCGCAGGTTTCTAAAACGACTAAAAAACTTTGTTCAACTCGGCCCCCTTTATTACGACACTCCTGTAACCTCAGTACCGCAGGCAGGAGAACATGGCAAACCACAGGGTTTAAAGTGTTTGGAAGTCAGTGCCAGAATCCCCCCACTTGGCCTTAAATCCACAATGGGCCTAATTTTTGCCTGAAATGTGGTCCCCAAATAACTTTATTAAGTAAAATGTATAGAGGATATTTCAAGGCCAAAGAACACTCCGACAAGAAAAATACTTGAAAGTTATCAATGGGCACAAACTTGTTCTTAAGACGTCTTTCTGAATACAAGATGTTGTAACTGTGGA